GCACCTCCCCCCCTGCGCGCCCCCCCCCCCCCGGACTCCTATTCCTTTCCTCTTCTCCCTTCTGAAAAATCAGGGGGTGTCTGAATGCAGGTTTGGAGGTCAGATTTCTCTTTGAAATCTTTCCAATGCAGCTAAAATTTAATTCATCTTGAAGCCTTTAATACTCCTCAGTCCCAGGATTTTACTCTGGCCATGGCTGTGTTTGTACACTTATCTCCCTGAGTTGATACATGGAAGGGATCCCAGCATGAACACCATCATCCAGTGTTACCCCCCTTTCCTTCCGAAAAGAAAATAAATGCAACTATTTTCAGATGAATTTGGCTCTTGTTCACACAGAAACCTCTAACCTTCCTGGGTTGCACTGTTTAGAGTACCTCACCCAGTTCAGCCTTTGCTTTGTAATGTACTGGCCCGCTGCAGCAGTGTTGTCTGGTGTTTACACAAGGAGCTGTTCCAAATGCCTGTTTTACCAATTCTGGAAAAGGCCTGCTAAAGCTTATTTACATGATCATCTGAATATATATCTAGCTTTTTAATGGGCAAGATTCTTACTGGTAGAAAATGATGAAACACCGATGTGCCTCCAAAGGAACTAGACAGATTGTAAATACAAATTAGGTCTGAGTTTCTGGCTCTGTCTTTATTTCCCCTTGTCTGATTTAGAGAAATTGAAAGGAAATATCTGCAAATGCGATTAAATATTTCCCTGTGATTCAGCCAGCAATCCCCAACTGCTCACTTCCACATTTCTCACTTTGTCTAAACACAAATGTATTTGAACTACTCCCCTTGCTATAATAAAACTGTTACTCATCATTAGTTTGAGGATGTTAGCCTACCTGTAACTGAATGCATAAAGTGCCATCTTGTGGCAAAATAGCATTGCTGCGTTCACCAGAGCCTCAATAATCTTTTTCCCACTTCAAATAGATTTTGATAGTATTAGAATCTCAGAATAATATATTATATATATTACCCATAGTTGCAGGGCTTTAACCTCAGGAAAATAAGTTTGCATTGGTTTAATTCTGAAATATGTTTTTTTTTTTTTTTTTTTTTCTGAGAGTCAATGCTAGGTGTTAATTCTAAACAGAGGAAACTAATTTTCACTGCTGCTTTAATTTTCACTAGGACTGTCAGTCAATTAAAATGAATGAGGTTAATAGCATGACTCATCATGCTACTAAACAATACAGTTTGTTTATGTATTTTGGATGTTTTCTACATTTTCAAATACATTGATTTCAATTACAATAGAGTAGAAAGTACATACTACTCACTTAAATATGAGTAGTGTATATTTTGTATTTGTATTTAAAAATATAGAAAAGCATCTACAATATTTAATAAAATTGGTACTACAGGCAGTCCCCGAGTTATGCGGATCCGACTTATGTCGGATCCGCAGTTACGAACGGGGATTTTCTCGCCCTGGAGGACTGGAGCGGCGGGATGCCTGGTCCCGCCGCCCGTCTCCTCCGGGGCGAGAAAAGCTGCTCCCCGTCTCCCTGG